CCCCAAAACCCCAAAACCCCAAAACCCCAAAACCCCAAAACCCCGGAATTGGATATTAGGGCTGAAGTAGCGCTACGGGGAAATAATAATATTTATTAGACATAATGATAGGAGGTATGATATACGGTTTGATAAGAGTATTTCTAGCCTTCTGAGCTGCATTTGTGGTATATCTGATATACTTCTTGATTATACGTCCCTATCTCTGGAGAAGAAAGTACCAAGCTTATTCAAATGTACTAGTAGGAAAGAAGTTTTCCCCCATAATTGGAGATTTGAGTAATGAGATGCAGTGCATCAATGACAACAAGGTACATTACAGCTACTATAAGGAGCTAGCTCAAGAGACCAAGAAGTATGATCTCAAAGCCAAACTTGAGGGTCCAGAGTCTTGCATCTCTATCATAAGTAGTAAGGCTCTCAAGGAGTTTCTGAATCTTCAGAAGACATGCGTGGATAGATATTATATGAGGAAAGGACTCGCAGAGATGGTCATTGACTCGATTGCTTCAAGGAAGAGTACTCCTGATATTCAACAAAGAAGAAAGAATGTGACCCAATACCTTGGCCTCAACTCTGCTTCCAAATATATCCCTCATATGATTGGGTGCTGTGAGAAGATAGTACAGAGCATGATCGAAGAGAAAGATAGCGATATCATGCACTATATGAATGAACTGACTTTTAATGTTTTCACAGAGGTGCTTTTTGGGTCTGGAGTAGAGAAACTTGTTACTCAGCTCTATCCATACCAAAATGCTGATGGTACTACTGAAGACATCACTCTCCGAGAGATCCTTATCAGAGTTTCTAAGTGATACATTGATCAATATTATAACCCATTGACTTTCATTGCTCCATTTTTGAGTATATCCCCCTTTTCGAGTTTTATTAGCCCAGATTCCTCTTACTACAAGCTTGTGAATCCTTACAGAAGAGACCACAACAATCTTCAGGTCTTCAAAAGAGCGATCAAGAACATTGTGCAGACTTCATCTGACACTAACTCAGTAGGCAGGAAATTTTTTGACCTTCCTGAGCTGACTGAGAGACAGAAGATAGACGACTTGGTAGGTATCATGATTGCCGGGTCTGAAACCACCTCTCACACACTGGTATCTTGTCTGTACTTTATGAGCAGACACCCGGAGACACTACAGAAGCTACGTGAAGAACTCAATAGAGAAGGTCTTTCCAAAGGAGAAGCCTTTGTAGAGAACTGTACGCTTGAGACCCTTCAAAACTGTACCTATCTCAGCTGTATTGTAAAGGAAACATTGAGACTTGATTCTGCTGTAGCAGATACATTTGACTATGAGCCGAGCAGAGACATCACTATCTGTGGAGTTCCTATTTCTAAAGGTCAACGCATCAAAATTGACCTCCTCACCAACCACTTTGACAGTGACAAGTGGCTTGACCCAGAAGCTTTCATTCCTGATAGGCACGATACAGAATCAGAATTCTTCAAGGAATCTAAAGAAGCAGGCAAGGTAGCAGATGTTTATGCTAGGAGATCATTCAGTCATGGGAACAGAAACTGTCCTGGGCAATCTTTTGCTCTGCTTGAAGCAAGAATCGTGATTGCATATTTAGCAACCCATATCGACTATGAATTCGACTTAGAAGTTGAGAATGAGCAAGGAGTTGGCTTTGGACTGGCAACTCAGTTTTTGCCAAGAATAAGAGCAAAAATGCATGGACAGAATTAGGTTTGGCATCGAAGTGATAAATTCCTCTCTCTAATCTAATTGATGCTACGTATGAAGCATAATGAGATTGGAAAAGTAAAATGAATATGCTCAATATTGGATATACATAAAGGGGTTTTGGGGTTTTGGGGTTTTGGGG